ACTGGTTCATTTTTCAGCCATAGAAATGAAAATGTTCAAAAAAAATTATTTCTACCCGTTACTCTCCCATATTAGGTGTTGAAAGTGCGTAATTCTGTCGGGTCATACATTCTTTTCTTCAGTATATTTATGGTTCAGTTGTCATGTAAAAATATAATCAAATATTTTACTACGTTTTATGGCGTCGACTGAGTTAGGAAAAAAATAGATGAACCGACAGAAATGAGAGTTTTAAATAACATAGTGCAGCTAAAAAAAATGAACATCAGACGATATGTCATGACATAAGATATTGAATAATAAATTTTTTATTTTTACTGAAGGTTACTTTTGTCAAGAAATTAAGTCTTAACCGAAAGTAACTGATATTTTATGTCAGAAATTCAAAATCAAAAGTCGTTGAAAACCAATGGGTTGTTATGGTTGTACTTTTTATTAGACTTATAGTAATGACTTTCTCAATTAATCATACAATAAACTATAGAAGGGCGTTGATTCTATCCTGAAAACTATAATTTAGCTCTGTACAAAGTTGAGAAATTCAATTTATTAATTGTTTATTATAAATGTACTTTTCCGACAGTATTCGAGATACAGACTTTACAATAAGAAAAATTAGAAATTTATACTTCAAGAATATTATCTTTTGTAGAATCGACTGTCTTTTTCTTATTTTCAAAATCCTAAATGTCGTTCTATTATTTTAAAAAAATGTCTAAAAACATTTCTTCCTTTTCTTTGTACTGTTGAGAAGTGTCACATATTCAAAAAGTCTAAGACGCAGTCAAAGTAAAAGGAGATGAGGAATATGAAAAAGTATCTAATAAAAGATACTTTTCTATATCTCTCATTGCACTGCATTCCCCTGACTTCTTGAATATGTGAAAGTACTGGTACTGTTTGATGTATGATACTTATTTCAACAATAAGCTTTCTTCATCAAAACAAAGAGACGTTATGTTTTCATGTAGTTTTTGTTTTAAACATGTATTTGATAATGCGCAGTCAATAGTCTAGCAAGTAAAATCAATATTTAAACCATATCTAGCCATATCTGTGTTTATTCTACAGTTCATTTATCATCATACGTCTAATTAAAAAAAAAAAGACATATTTTCTTTTCCTCAATATGCTGATATTTTTTCATTGATACTAAATTGTTTATTATTCGTTCTTAAAAAACTGAATATCACTCATGGCTAAAAATGAAATGATTTTTTATTAAGCATGTAGTGCATAACAAAAGCATTTGATGAAGAAATTCCCATATGTTTATAATATTAATAAATGTTATTAATGATTTTTTTTTTGCTTTTCTATCTATTTAAATATTTTTTTATTAAATATGTTTTTTTTTTGTGTTTTATATTTCTTCTATCAATGACTTCTGTCTATTACATTCGTATCTTATTATTCTTATGTGCCTGTTCCTCCTTAATCTTGATCGGTAATGGACTGACTTATACACCTACTACAGGCAATAATAATAAAAAAGATTTCTCTTTTCTTCGTAAGTATTCTCGGCAATCAATCCAACCGGATTCGAATCTATTGAAGGAACCTTCATCAATCTTATCCGCATCTAATATTCAACGACGTAATGTGATTATGCCACGTATTTGTTATTTTGCTCGAGTATCTGGAACGAGTGTTTATCAAAAATTATGTTTGCCCTATGATGATAGTTGATGATCATAATTATTCAAGCAACAAACAAATATAAAAGTCAAAGATTTTCATTATTCGAATAATGTTATTGATATTTTATAGTTAAAATTTTTCATATGATTTTATTTATTACATAAGCATTAACACAATCAAGTAGCAGTTATTCGAATAATTTGATTTGTCTTTTCTTATATGTTTGACAAAACAATAATATTTCAAAAAATATCATCAAAAACAAGAATCATAAAGTCATTCATTTATTTTTTTTCTTTTCTGAAGTTCTTCACGTAAAAATCTATAGATAGAAATTTTTACTAATTTACTTTCTTTTTTCTAATTCTTCTTTTTACTTAATAGAAAATTTTCCGTGTATACATTCTATTAATCAAAATGATAAAATCGAATAATACAAATGTACATTTTTGTTTCTATCTGATAAATATTGGTTCAAATACATTCTTGAGCATATAACTTGGTTTTTTTTTGTCCTGAGATATTCTTTTCAAACATCGAAATTCAAATTTCTAATTTATTTCATAATGTAATACTTATGTTTAATATATAAGAATTGTATATCTGTTAGAAATTCCTTAATTACATAAGAATATTTGGTAAAAACAATGTAGAGAATTTTGATTTTCTTATAAGAATTTCATCTGACAGTTAATTTTTCATTTATCATCACTTTCTTAAATTAAAGATTTCTAAACATTTTATTAGTAAGAATGCCATTATAATTATTAAGATAATTTCTATTTGAGTAAGGTATATGTCAATTTTTTTGCAACAATTAGTAACATCTTTATTTAATTGAACGAAATGAACAACAGATTAAATTATTTATAGGAAAAAAAAATGAATGTATTTTTTCTTCTACTTAGAAGAAAACTGTTCAATTGATTTCAAGTACTTTTTAAAATGAAAACATTAAACATTGGTAGATAACGCAATTGTTAAGACTTCTTAGTACAAATATTGAAATTCTACTTTTGTAATATTTAAAGTTAACAGTATTCTATTATTGTGTGTACGCATTATACATCATCAGGTTATTTATACAAGATATTCATAATAGTAATCATATTTAGATGTTCGATGTTTCTACATAATTGAACAAAAAAACTTTTTTGTACAGATAAAATCTTAAACATCACACAGTTTTTTTTTCTTTTATGTTTGAAATTAAAAAGGAAAGTAGGATTAATTATTTTTATGAATAGGTTTTTTTTCTCTATTTGAATTCTTGCATAACAAATAATAAAGAAAAGTGTATGTGTATGATAATTTTCGATGAATTATAAGTTCAAGCATGATAGTCGTTTTGTTTTCATATAAATTATTTTACAAACTAATTTATGAATACTTTTCATTTGTTATTGATAACATGTAATAATAGTACTAAATTTAAGATAGAAAATATGTATTATTTTATTATCATATTGATTTATATAAAAATGAGTTATGCTGAGAAATTCTATCTGAAGAATATAAACGAATATTTTCATTACATACATATATATGACCTTATTGATTCTTTTATGTAATCACTTGCATTTTAATGTACCGCTAAAATATTTATTCTCAATGATATTCTAATAGCTTGTTTGCAACCGAACTGTCTTTGAAAAATGATTGTATAAATAAGAAATAAATTTCTGATGCATTGTGTTAGTTAATTTGATATGATACAATAAAATGTGTGACAATAAAAGAAAACTGATGAAGACAGTTTTTAATTCACATATATACATGTATATAATTATGTTCATAGCAACTAAAGATACTTAAAAAAAGTGAATAATCTTATTTCAAATTGAGAAATATAAATTTAAAAATGAATTATGCAGAACATATTTTCTAATAATTCATACAAAATACTGAAATCATAATTGATGACATTTTTTTGATTATTTCGTTGTAATGCTAAGCAATAAGCTCAAATTCTTAAAAACCTAAATTGATAGCTTTCAGATGTCAGAAGACTGTTTTGCAACGATACTAATTTAAGAAACACACAATGAGGAATCACCGCATTTTAATGGACTTCCCTCAAAAATTTACAAGAATTACAAAAACCGAAATTAATCGAAAAAATCGATAAAAAAACGTTTTTGTTTTCGACTTTTTCTGGATAGTAATAACTCTTAAGGAAAAGTCGTAGACAACACGGATACCGCTCATTTTATATTCTTTAAAACGGCATTGTAAAAAAAGTAATCTTATGGGACTTAGAAATAAGCGTGTCTGATTTCGTTCGAAACCTTAATATAGAATACATTCGATAGAAAAGTGCGATGACTATTAAGATTACTATCTGGATTTGAGCTAATCCTTTAACATTATAGAAAAATATCTTGCTGTTAAACTTTTCTCCAACCCCTCACATCAAGTTTTAATACGAATAAAAATCGAAAATCTATTCCATTATATTAGTAGTCTCTAGGTTCTTCTCTTCAACACATTAATATCGAGCACAATTTAGTCTTATTCATTTCGATCTTTCAAAATATGTTTGACTCAGTTATCATATTTGATTGAATTCCAAACTTTCACTCTCGTTTGCTTCATTTAGCATTTTCCTATTCCGATATAAACAAGGTTTTTAGCAAACTGATTTCCTTTTTTTTTTTGATTTATCATCTTTGATTGATAACTAATAACCCTTTTCTTGGACGCTTAATTTTTGATCATGTTTATTGCTAGTATGGCGGATTAATCATTTCTCCAATGTGTTTTGTGTGCCATATTTACAACATTACCACTCCAATTCGTCAAAGAGACAGAACTGCTAAAACAACATAAATTTATTCCTTGAAAATAATGAAAAAGAAAATTATGCATATGGACAAACAAAAGAAAATTAATCATTCATACGATATAAAACCAAAGTATCGGTTAAATAAAATTCGGTGGTCTCAAAAAGTATCCGGAGCTAGAACCACGGTTCCAATTCGTTTATCGGTTTCGGTTTTGTTTTGAATCACCAAACTCTACTATTAATGCTTCATAATTTTCGATATCTGTAAAAATTATTGCAATTCAAACACCTACGATTTATTCATCGTTGAAAGAGTCAATGCAGCATTAATAATAAAGTAGCATGCTTTAACATAATTATGAATTATTTTTGTTATTGCTTTTTGTTAAGACTCTGTGAAATAATGTCCTTAACTTAAAAACTAATATTCTATAGTATATTATGAGTGCTACTACACCTCTAAAGCTTGAAAAAGGATATGTAAAAGAAAAATGCAAATTAGATCATTCGAAATTTGCTCTTAAAATGCTAGCAGTCCGAAAACAACATAACAAAAATTCGAATAGAAATAATCATGACAGACACGACCATTAAACAGTTGGCAACTATTTTTCCGATAGATACTGAAGCACTGAAACCAGATCTCAAATTTCGTCGACGTCGTTCTATAATTCGTGACTTCAGTCTTAACACTTCAACTCATGGTGTTCCAGGCATTGCACGTAGTCAAAGCATACATAATCGTATTTTCTGGATAGTCTCAACATTAGCATTTACTGGTATTATGCTGTTCTTTGTTGTTGAATCGATAAAGCAATATTTCAATTTTCCAACACAAACATCAGTATCATTTATTGTCGAACGTTCACAAGCATTTCCAGCAGTCAGTATTTGTAATTATTCACCATTTCGTCTTGATAATTTTATTGAACCTTTTCTAAATTTTACGAATTCACGTAATTTGACTAATACAACTGATACAAGCACTATTCCTATCGAAGCAGCTCCCTATCTTTTTGATTTTATTCAAAATTTATTAAATTATGATGAATATCTGAGTAATTACTTTTTTCCTCTGAGTTCAATGTTAATCTCTTGTTTATACAATGGTGAGCGTTGTCAAGCTACTGATTTTATTCAATTTTTTTCATTCTATTTTGGTCATTGCTACACATTCAATGCTAAAATGAAATTAAATGACAGTAGTGTTCGAAGTACTATTGATCATGGAGGTATCGGTAAACTTGAATTACAACTCTATGCACACAGCCATCAATATGTTCCATATACTTCAAGGGGTAAAGTGAAGAATATGATTTAAATGAGAACTTTTTTTTGTGTTTCGTTCATAGATATATCAGTTGGTATGGTGGCTATGATTCATGATAATACAGAATTACCTCTCATAGAAGTAGCTGGTATTCAACTTGATCCTGGACGAAAACACAAGTTTGGTTACAAAAAGAGAACGTATGAATCATTATCATCTCCATATTCTGACTGTACAAATGAAGTTTCTCTTGCCATGCAAGCGATGTTTAATCGATATGCAGGTGCTGATTACGCTTATTCTCAAGTTTTATGTTACATGACATGTGTACAAGCATATATGTAAGTATACACTGAAAAACTACACAAAAATAATAAAATTTTGTCCTATATTCAATTTTTCATAAATATTTCACGAGTTTACGCCAATAATTCTGATCAGTTTATCCTAAAAGAATGAATGCTTATTAAAATTATTTTTAGATTTGATTATTATATGTGAATCGAATCTTTATGAAATTTTAATAGTCATGATTTGTAATAATGCATCTTCATATCTCTATCATCAGCTTGTAGTATCCGCAATGAACAAAAAAGAATTTTAACATATATAAACGTAAAAAAGCAACCTTTCACAATGACTAATATTATTCTTCATTATAAAAGAAAGGTGATGATATTCTATTTATGTTTCAGAAAAAAATGTTGCATTTATTTCATTTATTATGAA